TGTAATCTGATTACTTTTTTCAAGTAACGAGTAAAGTAAGGGATTGCTATTGCAAAAACGGTAATTAGATTACCGCTACTTTCTTGTAGGAACGCTGCGTTACTGCGTTACTAAAACCGTGATTTTTTTAAATTAATTAATTAATTAATTAATTAATTATTTTCTGCGAGAATGTCTCATGACAGTGACATAGGCGAGTGCGACGTTCGTGACAACAGCTGTGTGCAGATCAACAATGGATCATATATCGATTGTGGGAGAGAGTATGAGCGTGCAGCGTTTAAAGCGTGGAAGTACTGACCTTACTTTGAGTTTGATTCCATAAAAAGTGACAAAAACATTAGCGTCCATTGTGCGTGGGAAGAAAACTTCTTTTTACAGCGAAAAAAAACCCTAAACAAGCACCGAGTGCGCAACGACGTAATGGGAAATTCACAGAGAAACTCGCAGATTCTTCAACTGACCGCTGCGGCACACCTGCACCAGGGCAAACCTCCGCCTGCTTTACAGGTGAAAATAGAGCAACAGGACCACTAGTCTTTGATTTTATTTATTATCTGCTGTATTTTACTTGCATCTATTTGAAAGACTGAGTGTAAACACAAAAAATATTTTATTTTATGTGCTGGAATGTGCAGAAAATAGGTTTAAATGTTAAACTAATTTCTTCAAATCAGACAATGGTGCATATAATTTAATTTTTGCTTGATGCATAAAATTAAAAGATTAAAACTGATAAAACAAGTTTAAAAAAAAAAGAGACTTTTTCATTTGATTACATTTTGTATGATGGATTATGCAGAAAAAGTAGAATTGGGCTGAAAGATCTATCGCTTTATTACCTATTCAGGTTGTAAATCGTGTTTTTAAAAAGTAACTAAGTAATTAATTACTTTTGAAAATAAGTAATCAGTAAAGTAACAGGAGTACTTTTTTGGGGTAGTAATCAGTAATTAGTTACTGATTACTTTTTTCAAGTAACTTGACCAACACTGCTAGCTAATGATGGCTAATGTAGTAAATAAAACTGTAAAGTTAGCTGTCACTTAGGATTAGGATTTAACAAAATTGACCATTTACTACTAGATACTTATCTATAGCAAACAACTATAACACTAAGTATGAAGCATTATTTTTAATCTGTGAGGGTCACTAAACATTAAAAAAATAGACTTATAGGCCTCAGTTCGCATTAATTTCTCACGGATTTCCTGTTGACCATTGCTCCCACCGACACCCATACGAGAAGCTTCTCCTGAAGGGAAAACTGAAGCAGCTGCACGGACAAAAGAAACTACACCTCTTAGGGGCTGCCTCAGAAATCTCATCTGTAGCTCCCATTAGATCTCCAATAGATCTAATCATCTTTTCTGAAGTGAGTGCTACGCGTTTTTAGTGACAGAAGCAACAGAATACTACAAATACCTTTCACCTGCAGATATCACCCAGGCATAAAAATTAGCTTTGTACTTGTCAATAAATCTGCTGCACTTGGTGTCCTGTAAGCTTCGATTGTTGATGCTCAAAAGGCATATTTCTGAATTGTAGCCTTTATGTTTAAAAACTCAGGTCTCTGCCAGGTCTCTCTTGGAAATTAGATTTTTAATCTCAATGACATTTTTTTTACCTGGAAAAATAAAGAACTAATAATAAACGGCTTTGTTAAGATTTCAAATTTTTAACGTCAAATTGGTGTCTGTAAGGCAACCACAACTCTATGATATTATCTATTTTGCATTTCATGTCATTTTTTGTGATATTTTGTTATTTAGGTCTACTAAAGCTCCCCATGACAGACATTGCAATGAGTGAAAGAGGAAAGGAAATACACAAAATACACTTAGCAGCAAAAGAACCCAGAGATGTCAGGTGCATTGCGAAAATGTCTTTCATTTTCAGTGTGAAAGGACATTATTAAAAGCTTGCTATATAAAGCTGTTAGCACTGGATTCAACATTTTTCGTTTACAGCTCAGGTCCTCATTGCCTACGTTTTTCTGAAGTGACACTATCACACCTATTATATCTTGTACTATTTTGAACCTCGCTGCTGAATGAAATCACCGCCGCTGATAAACAGCCTCCAGGACACTTACACGCTGTTCTTCTTCATATTCTGTGAATAGTCCGATATGGCTTTATCAGTTTCCCCTGGAGAAGTGCTCCGAATCAGCTCGACCAAATCAGCTCCGAAGTAAACAAGCCTTTGTTTGTATGTGTGCAATCAATATATAATCAAATTTACTTATCCATCCACTGAAAGGATTTGAGGTGACTGTGACCTCAGCATTCAAAAATACCTCTTGACCATTTAATGGTGAGCTAAAACGAGAGTGTTAATAGATTTAGCACGCTGCATTTAATTTCATAAGATTGCTTTGAATTCTGCATGTACCTATTAGGTTTTGCACTTTTGTGTTAATGACATATAGTCCTACACCTCTCATCACTGCAAATAAAATCATTTTGTAAATCATGCATTTATAGTTTGCCAAATGTAAATTGCTGAAATACACTGCTTTTACATAATGCTTTAAACCATTAATGATGTTAATGGTATATTTATCCCGTTAGCCCCGTTAAGCTTGCAGCCATTATACTACAGATTTTTGTGAAATCCCTTTACACGATTTGTCACAGCTCATGCATTTTCATACCTTTTCAGAAATTACCACCATGACCAAATCATGTTGACAGTTTTGTTTCATTATGATTTCTGAAAACAAAAAAAAAACGGATCTACTTCCTGCAGCCTGCAAAACATTGTCACTTGTGTCCCTCGGTAAACTCGGATGACACTCTGTTGTCGAATTTGTTGCCTAGAGAGAGTTTCAGGCATAACTTACACACTCACAGGCCTGTCAGAACAGTCTGTTTCTCTATTCTCACCACAGCTGATTGATTAGCATTCCTTGCTGATCAGACAATTATTAATTCAGAGCTTCTCCCTGCAACACAGTAGACAAAAAAAGGGATCCTAGTTATAGTAAAACTATGGTCATAGTTCCCTGTCTCTGTTATCTAGAGCACTGTCCCATCTTTTTGTCCCGTTGATGCATTTGTGTGGCACGATGACTAACCCCATCTTTGGATTAGGAGTAAAAGGTCTTTATGTTTTTAGCACATTAGTATGGATTTACTCTGTAGGTATTTTTTGTGGCCATGTGCATGTGTAAATGTTAGCAGGTCCTCTGTAGGCCACTGTAGAATGTAATTAATTGTGTTGAGGTGCTGTTCTCATTGCACTACATGCTATTGTTTTACACACACAAGGCCAAATTCCACGGCACTATAGCAGACACAAAACTTCATCTTGCCAGTTATGACTAGGTAGTGTGTTTAATTTATTTGATTAGTGAAAGTATTTTTCAAACAGTACCTGTGCGTGGTGAAAAATGACTGCATAAGACACAGAGGAATGAGTCAAGCATAAGCTGTTACCTTACTTTTGGGAAACTTGGATCATTCTGCTAGTCTGAGTTAGAGTTTGAATAACTTTTCCTATTTTTTTTAATGTCTTTTCAATTTTTCATTTCTGCAGAAAAACAACAACAACGACATCATGGCCACATTTTTAAGCAGTGTGAGTGAGAGCTGGCTTTAAAAAAACTAAATCAAAAAAAAAAAAACAACACCTTGGATGTGTTTCTTTTTTTAGCAATAGTAGATGCAGTGGTGGAAGTAATTCACATGACATAAAGGGAAACTGTAACAGCAGTCAATAGCCAAGGTGAGCTGAAGAGAAGCTGCTGCATTCAGATGTGAGAACTTTCTTTGTGTTAGTCTTGTAAGTGTTGTTCTGTGAGTCGATAATGACATTGTAGGTCCCTGTTACGGAGCATGCTGCTGCCGTGTCATCTACTCCCGTAGGATTTGATCTTCCGCTATATCAAGCAGGATTCTTTACAGCATGAGTTACTGGAGCTGCTGTGGAATGGAAAACTGTGCCATGACCCACTGATTGTATTTGGAGAAGACTTTTGTACTTTACCCTGTCAGCTCCTTCATTGTTGTTTGATTTTGAAAATTGGACTTTTGATTACAACACTGCAACTTTTAACTTCTCTCACTGAGCTGTTCCTTTTTTTCTTGTTTTATTTTTAATAAATGTCATTTTATTAGCAGCATGGTGGTTAGCACTTTTGCCTCACAGCAAGAAGGTCCTGAGTTCAACTCCACCATCTGTGTAGGGTTTGCATGTTCTCCCTAGGTACTCCGACTTCCTCCCACAGTCTAAAGACATGCAGTTAGTGGAGTTATGTTAATTGGTAAATCGAAATTGCCCATAGGTGTAAATGTGAGTGTGGTTGTCTATCTCTCTGTGTTAGCCCTGTGACAGACTGGTGACCTGTACAGGGTGTACCCCGACTTTCGCCCTATGGTAGCTGGAATAGGCTCAAGCCCCTGTTCCTGTGATTTATTTTCTGTCAGCTTACAAATTGATTAGTCATTGTGGGTCTGAATATATGTAGAGTAAGGCTTTCTGTCAGTGTTTTCTCAATGCAAAAAAACATTCTGAAAAAGTGCCATCACACACATGTACGCACACAAACTCGCACAGGCTTTGATCGTCATGCCATCCTGTGTTGTTTACATAGTCGAATGCTTTTACCCTCTAGCTGAGGGTTAGAAAGACTGAGTCTATAACTGATGGAGGCCCATGCCTGCCTGTACTGTTTGACATTTGTGCTGAGCCCAACACTTTACTCCACACAGGCTGTACAGGATGGTTGGGTGGGGTGAGTGGGTGTGGATGGGTCCTGCATTCACCCGTCACATTCTACACTGAGCTGGGAAAGTCAGAGACGAACGCCTGTCAGGGTGGAGATGTTGGACAGAGCTGTTAAGTGTACTCCTCCGAGGAATTTTCGGCTTGTGTGGAAATTGTAAACAAAGTAGGGTGAAAATCCAGGATAATGCACTAACACTGTTTGTATTGCAGCCAAAGTTGCTAATTTTGTCTCCTCTCTCGTTTTCTCTCTTGTCCTTCTGTCACTTCAGTCACAACCAGAGGACCACCACATTTCGACATCCTGTGACTGGACAGATTTCCCCAGAGAACATGGATTTTATCCTGCAGTGAGTAACTAATGCGTGTGCGCGCGCACGCACACACACACACACACACACACACACACACACACACACACACACACACACACACACACACACACACACACACACACACGTAAAATAAATAAGTAATAATGGTTTAACTTATACTTCACGCTACATTTACTTGACCATTTACTTAGGTCCATAAACATTTGGACAGAGACTTTTTTTCTTCTTCTAATTTTGGTTGTGTACATCACCATAATGAATTGTAAATGAAACAACTCGGATGCCGTCGAAGTGCAGACTTTTAGTTTTAATTCAGTGAGCTGAACAAAAAGATTGCCTAAAAATGTGAGGAACTAAAGCATTTTTTTACACAATCCCTTCATTTCAGGCGCTCAAAGGTAATTGGACAAATTAAGTATCTGAAAATAAACTGTTAATTTCTAATACTTGGTTGTAAACCCTTTGCTGGCAATGACAGCCTGAAGTCTTGCCCTCAACAGCTTTCAGTTGCTGTCTGTTTGTGGGCGTTTCTGTCCAAAGTTAAGGCTTCGACAAGTGAAATTCATGCTCAATTGGGTTAAAATCAGGTGACTGACTTGGCCATTCAAGAGTATTCCACTTCTTTGCTTTAGTAAACTCCCGGGTTCCTTTGGCTATATGTTTTGGGTCATTGCCCAGCTGTATTATGAAACGCCACGCAATCAGTTTGACTGCATTTAGCTGAATTTGAGCAGACAGTATGTCTCCGTACACCTCAGAATTCTTTCAGCTGCTTTCGTCCACTTGTTGTGGAGGGGTTTCTCTTCACCATGGAAATAATTCTGTGATCATCCACCACTGTGGTCTTTGGTGGACGTGGACGAGTTCATCAGTGCTTTCTTTCTTTCTTTCTTTCTTTCTTTCTCTGGATGTACCAAACTGTAACTTTAGTTTCTTCCTGACAGTGACTTTGGAAGCATCTTGGAAACCTGAATTGTATAAAAGTTGAGTTGGATATGCTTTCTTCTGAAGTGGGTAGATGACAAGCTCTTAGAAATCTACTGCTATGAACTTCTTTTATACAAAGGAATGAAAGTGTTAGTGGACTTGCCAAGGACAAGCAATTTTACTGAAGTGTTCCCACTATCTGTACAATAGCAAGAATGAGTAAAATATTTCTCTCTTCCTGTGTGAAATATTCTTTTAGCTCCAACTGTTTTCCTTGCTGAAAGTTAGATGAGCCTTTGAATATTAACTCAACCAGCACAAAAACTGTAGGCAGGGAGAGATGGATAACCCCGGTGAACCCAAAGATTAAAAAAAAATTGACTTGACAGATGCTGATCTGGAGCGAGTTGTATTGATCTTATTGATCTCTTTACTACTACTGTATACAAACTCAACGGTGTTTCTATTTGAAGTTTCCTGGATTCTACAGTTCAACCCACGTGCGTGATATAAAAGGGAAAATACAGTTTGTATTTTTTATTCAGAATATCTTTCACAGTTCTGATACCACAGGTAGCAATTTTACATGTTTTTATATTGAAGTTTCAAATTTAATACACAGATATCACAGTATACATGATCAATTATCTGCTTTTAGGAAATTAATGTATGTCACTGGTGAACTGTCAGGGGCTGTTGATTACCATCAGTTCTCTAGATATCTAAACAGTGCTATTTGTAACCATGTTTCATAACATCATGAGCATTTCCCACAAATGGCAGAGACAAAGGTCAGCAAGTACAAGTAATATAGTCCCCAGCATTCCCGCAACCATCAAAACGTAAGAGAAGACACTTATTTTGTAAAATCGATGATAAAACTGATTTAAAATGATATACTGCATAGATAAAGCTAGACTATTATGCACAAAATAGAAATAAGATTTGGTGGAACTTGGAATTTGAAATGCCAAATATGTGTAAATATGTGTGCAATGAGGAGGGAGAGCCCAGTTTGATAGTCTTGTTCGCTGGGCTTTTTTTATCCTCTCGAGCCTGTTGCACTGCTCTGGCTGCCCTGTTGAACGTTATGCTTTTGGGTCAGTGCTGAGCGAGATGGATCATGTCATGTACAAACCTGAGATGAGCACAGCTACGATAGCAGTACCCTGATTTTAATTTCAGGTTAAATATCCAAATATTAGATTATTACATCCCTGAATGCTTTCAGACTTTAAAAGCTCTGATTTGTGTGGGTCTCCCTGAAATAAAGAAGTTGCAGTGCCTACTCAAAACTGTTAAGGAGACATTTTGCATTGCACTCTAATGGCTTTTGTTTGGGGGAAGGACTCCCTGCCAATGAATGAACCTGACACCAGACTTTCACCACAGAGCAGGGAAACTCTATGGTCTCTGTTACAAGAGACTAGATTTTCTTTTCCACAGCACAATTTGTACTGTATAGCTCAACAGGATAAGTGAACTTAGGACCACATCGTGGATTTATCTGTAAATAATCTGTAAATAAATATCGCTGGAATTTAATTATATTCTGCAGCCTATAGATAGTTTGTATTTATTTTTTTAAAGATTTAATTATTTTTGCAGTAAAATAAACATTTTCAAGCCCCAAAACATTAATAACAATATAACGCCACATCATTGATCCATCATACGAATCAAGGTGTTATTTGTGCATTTTAGGTGCTCTATAAGTGAAACGCCATAAACCTCCGTCGAGGGTATGGACACAGACAGTAACAGTATGTAAGGATGTGTCCCAAAAGTGTGTTTAAGAGCGTGAAAATGGTTTATAGGAGTGTGGGGCGGGTTTTTATAGCTTAAAATATATAAACACAGTTTTTCAAATTTTTGCTATGTAACTTTGCACTGTCCACTTTCTGCTGTAATAAAACAAATTTCCCACGTGTGGGACTAATAAAAGTTATCGTATCTTATCTTAACATAATAAAATAAACATATGGTTTCTACTTAGCGGATTTTCACCTCTCGGGAATATGTCTGAAGGTTTTCGGTCATCCAAGTCATCGTAGTCTAACGAGCTTGGAAAGAAAAGCATCTGGACTTCTTTAAGTTGCCTGAAAACGTTTCACCTCTCATCCGAGAAGCTTCTTCAGTTCTAGTTCTGAACTGAAGAAGCTTCTCGGATGAGAGGTGAAAGTCCAGATGCTTTTCTTTCCAAGCTCCTTAGACCACCTCTAAGGAACATATAACCCCCGTGATAATCAAGGAAATACAGTGTATGTGTTTTTGTTTTTTTTTCCTTCCCTCTGTGAAAAATAATTCCATATCTTGATTGTGGCACTTTTCTATAAACCAGTTTGGTTTGGGTGGGATATAAATCAAAATGTAGCCACAATGTCTGACAGTTTCCTGTGTTTTCGGTTATTTATTTTATCATTGTTTTATTGAATGGTGTGGCCGGTTCTGTGTCTTCCTATCTTTCCTCTGTCCACCTGCGCACACCCTCAGGAGATAAAGTTAAAGTTGAACATCAGCTTACAGAGCACATCGGGTGAAATTGAAAAAAAGCCCCATCATTACTAATAGATTTTATGTCGGTTGAACTTTGATTTTCATAGGACTAGGAGGATAGGTGGGGTCAGAACAAGAGGGAATGACTCATGTCCAAAGGGCTTCATACCAATCTCAGCAGACATTGTCAGACTATTGGCTTTATTACTTGGTCACACCACCCATCCATTTGTTTATTTACTTACTTAACCTTTCAAAACTAACCCCTTTCTGAAAAGTCAACCCGTTTCTGATGGGTTTTATATGAAGCCCCTAAGGAGGCAGCCACACAGGAAGTGACTAGCACTGAAATGGCAAATAGAGAATGCAGAAAGTTACTGACATTTAACAATTTCAAGTGATGATGGGAGAAAATAATCACTGTGAAGTGTGTGTGTGTGTGTGTGTGTGTGAGTTTAACTTTTCTCAGCTTCTAGGCAAGTAGTTAAAGAAACTACCAATGAGAGTGAAGGATATTGTTGATTTACATATGACAGGGTGGTAACCACATTATTAGCAACATTCTAATAATCAGTCCTTTTTAATCCATCGTGTAAGTCAGGGATTTTAAAGTTAGCTTTGTTGTGACCATTGAGTAACTTAAATGAAACAAATTCCAGAAAGTTAAAGGATTGAGTACATTTATATAGTTTATCCTACATATATTCATTCCCTCGGCGTACGGAATCTAATTAATATAACAGTGTTAAAAATATTGATGCGTTTTCTGATAGTGAGTGTAATGGAGACCAGGGGTTCCATTACCTTGTTGGCATTGTTAGTGATTAATTGATGGATTGGGAATTTAAAATAGTAAAATAAAGAAAAACACATTAGTTTTTATGAATTATTTATTAGGTTTATTTGACATACGATTAAAATGACAGCTTGTAAAGGTGAAGAGACAGGGGGACTGGCCATCCTACCTGTGTCAGAGAAGAGCCAAAGTTAGAGCTGCTTGTGAAATGAGAACTTATAAAGGTACTCACCTGTCCTGGTTGCTTCTTGCAGGATGTGGAGCAAAAGAGTGAAAGCGGCTCAATCACCTGCTTAAGAGCTCCTGGAGCAGACCAGTGTTCCAGGTTAAGGAGTATGGTTAAAGAGGGTTTTAATTTAGATAGAAATGAGTGAAGCTTATGTTATTGGTTTTTTTTATAGTACGTGTTGGAAATATGTATATGTTTGTGATGTGCTTTAATGTTATTGTATGTTTGTTTGTGTGGAGGGCTATGTTTTCATGTTGATTAGTTAACCCCCATACTTGGGCTATTCCAGATGCTCACCTGAAAAGGTAGAGTATAAAAGGAAGCCATTGTGTTTAGTTGGAGTGAGTGTTTTTGTGCTGTTAACATGTGCCTTCTTTAATAAAGTGCCAATCCATGGATGTATTCTACTCCAGTCTCGCGTCATATTATTGGACAGAACCTATGACCGCCGGCCAAAACTGACAGCGAGTAACATCTCAGTCAAAACTTTAAAATTCACATACACTGTATCCTCACAGCGGTGTCATTTACTGCGGTGCAGTTTTGCTTCCTGGTATTTAAGCGATA